ATCTGTAGTCATGCTGTCGACAATTTTCTTGTTGTAAATCGGCACGTATAAATTGATGACCCGCCCTGCTATCAGGAGAGCGAAGCAGAATAAAACTCTCAACTGAAGGAGACAGTCTGTTTTTGGCCACAGGAATGGCGATAGTGTCTTTATCTTGTACCATATGTTCTGCCAGGTTGAAGAATTATCGTCTGGTCGCTGTTAGTAAATTATATTAGCATTCATAGAGAGAAATTGTCATTAATTCTGTTGAATATTCAATAGAAAAAAGTCAACAGATTTTTATTTTTTTCTCTCTGGATTTTTCACTTCAGAAGCTTTTATATCAAAATTATCGATCGCGGAATTTCTTCATAGTTTTCCCAAAATTTTTTGGTCCTTTTAAGCAGATTTATTCTCAAGAATTCTTATAGAAACAATCTCAATAGAATATTTATATAGAAAAATTCAACTCGATCGACTTTTTCTTTGAAGAATCCAATAGAACCGGAATTGAATTGAATTTTTGTATGGGTGGAATCATACTTAATCATTGATCAAACATATACAAAAAATAAAGCATTGAAAACTTCAATAAACTCGCTGGAAAATTCTATTCGTTTCATCTTTAGGTTTTTAGGAAGTATTCAATACAAAAAACTGATAAAATTCTATTAAAAATTTTTTCCTGAAAATTTCAATACAATTTTTAAACGAGTTCACTAGATTATGTATCAAATTTTTTCATCAACAAACGGATTTGTAATAAATTAATTCGCTAATGAAATGAAATAATTATTAAAGAAGTAAAATAAATAATATAAGAGAAAATGAAAAGGAATTTTTGATTTATAAATAACGTACATCGTGATAATAAGTAGATCTCGGCCCCATGTCATTGTTCAGGGATGCGTAATCAATCTCAGAGTTGCCGATAATTCCAGGAGCCCTTAGACCAAGTGCGAATATCATGAGATTGCTCACGTATCTGAGTACGAACAGTGCCATCTCTATCTGATCGCTCGGTCTGCAAACGTTTAATTATAAAGTAAGAGTCTGTGGACATAAATAAATACACTTGAGTTGAATTGGGTGGGACGTACGTGTTGAGATGGAACCACCACTCGGATTTTCCAATGTTGATGAAGACGAGGTTCTCTCCAATGAATGCAAGAGTCCAGAATCCCAGGAGAACCACTCCATGACCACCTGGTGGAACACTCGGCAGCAGTTGGTGACGCTCTATCTTCAGGATGTACACGGAATAGGGGTAAACTATCGTCGTCAGGATTGTCGTGAGTATCTGAAGGCATTTTAAGTCAACTGTATCAGTAAAACTTATAAAAATTCAATAATGAAAATCTACAATCCAGAATTAAATGGAAAATTACAAAACAAATCATAGAAAGCATAATAATAAATTATAAAATAAAATAGATACTAAAAATTGTGAAAAGAATTTTTAAAATTGGATAAACTCATCTGTATAAATGAAAACATTCAGAGAAAAACTGGAATAATAAAAACAAATTAGGAACGATAAAATCAGTTATCAATTAAGAATAAAACGTAATCAACAGTATTGCAGAATAAACAATGAATAAATTGTGAGTTGATAATTTAAAAATGAATTTTCTAAAATGAACATTGAACTTTTTTTTCTATGGAAAATAGAAAGTTTATTTTCTATTTATTTAACATAAATAAATATTTGCTGCTTTTCTCACCATGTACCCATAAACTCTCTTATCATCGAGAACAGTAGCCTGGAGGATGATTCTGAGAATGCTGAGGACTGGTACGAAATATAGGAAGAACTTCTGGAGAAGGTAGAGTTTGCTGCTGGGAAGTCTGGAAGTAGTGAAACGTGTTCCCCACTTCTTGTAGATCCACAGCTGAACCGTTCCGCATAATAAAATATAAGCAGATATCACACTGATACTGATAGTGTCCACGAAGCACTTGGAGATCCCATGGTCCACCCATATCTCAGTAAAGGTCACATTCGGTGGGCAGTACCCCATTGACACATTGATCATTTTAATTTATGGACAATTTGCTTCTTCTGCCAGTGAAAATTTAGCTCGACAATTCAAAAATACCCCCAAAATAGCACAGATCAGATTGAAGAGCCACTTTAATCCCTTTTAATCGAGCTTAAACCTTCAAGTGTCCTCGACGATCTTCGCGATGTTTTTGAAAAGTCATCACAGCTGATGACACCACTATGTACCACTATGCACAGCGCGCACAGCTGATGTAAACCGTCTACATAAGCCGGAGTCTAGGCCTACATAACCTCAAAGCAGTTCTGCATCATCTAAAACAGGTTTTATTATTTTTACTTGGATCATAATGTGTAATTCAATGGAAAAATTTGACGATTTCTCCAAAAATTTGTTGATACTTGCCATGAACTCTATGGA